ATATATCAAATAGATTTGTAAGTTAGAAACTGACTTTTGTACCATTCATAAGCTACTTACCGGAGGATGAGAAGAAAAATATGTAAGTGGGTCATTTTACCAAACAAGTGCTGAAGATTTATTTCAATTAACACAAATTATATAATTGACATCATAAACACATAAAAACAGTAACCACATTATACTAAAATTCAAAAACTTTGAAACATTGATTCACAAAAACACATAACATCTAAGTGAATATACCTGACATGAGATGGACCCTATTGTATATAGTAGTATAGGACCCACGGGTAGCTTTGGAGGCACTTGGTACTTCATAAGGGGATATTGATGCTCAAGTAACTTTATGAAAATAATTTTTTGAACTTCAACTATATGTGTACCCCTATATAATTTCTGGCTCCCTTGAGTACAATTAGCACAAATAAGTAGAAATACACATAACAAAATACATACCTATCATATAAAGACACTATGCTTCAGAATGATTATGAAGGCACAAAATTTGATGGCATTGGTCCATTAAAATTAACACACACACACACCTGTTATTTTTACAGCTAGAAAAACAAAAGCAAGAAATAGTTATGTGTTTTAGTAAAATCAATCAAAATCTTCATCAAATAAAGAAAGTGTTGAGGATCTAACATTGTCATAACTCATGAAAAAAGTGTAAAAAAAAGCTTCATTTCTTGTGACTCTAAAGACAGGTTATGATATAATCATTTCCTTTATTATATTTGCAGCCCATCTCTTGTATCAAGCTCTCCCTACACCTAAAAAATTAAAAAAATGAAATAAATAGTACTTGTTATAGGGTTGTGTAAGCATACATTCAAAGAGTTGTACTTAGGGCACACGAGAATTGTGCTAGATGGTAGGAGGAAGTTGTTCATGATTTAGTTAACCTTAGCCCACGATTCAGGCTCTTCTTCACCATTTAAGACCTGCTTCATTAATGCTTTTGGCACAAAAAATGCCAATCACAAAATCAAAAGTGATTTCACTCTAGGAAAATGTATGAACAATTTTAAAGAAGAAAAGCAATGTCGGGAGAAAGAAAAAGTGGAGAGAGTTGAAGACTAACCTGGCATGTACTTTTTCGGTGGGATCATAGGCAGTTTCTTGTTCATCAGAAGCGAGTAAAGGCTGATGTTGGTCAGAAAACATATTCTTTAATCTTCAATTTGATCCTCTTGTCGTCTGGTAGTGGTTGCCTGAGTATAAGTTGTGCGTGCGAGAGAATGTAATACAATGAAATCGAACTCTTATAGAGTACTAACCTAACACCACCAAGCAAAACCCACAATAAGAATTTGAGGAAGAAGACAATGTCAATAGAAACTTGCAGCGATAAATGAAATCAAATTAGGAGTAGGAGAACTCGATGGGAAAGAAAAAAATGTATGTTTGGGATCCAGATGGTCACTCTTATATTCCTTATCAAATAAACCTTGACACACAATTGAGTCGTGACGTATGCAATTAATCACCGGTTGTGGAGGTTGAAGACGTACTAGGGAGGGGAGGCTGCCGATTCCAACGCGAGAAGAACCGCCCTATAGTAACTGTAAATTATGGAGTTTAAGTGGCTGAGATTGAAAGTTAGGAGAGTTTGAACGGCTGAGATGTGTTGGGCGGTTACAGACTCACCGTCAACGATAGTATAAAGAATATTAAGGGATTTGACGTTTGAAAGGCAAATAAAAGGATTGATTGTTACCGAAACTAAAGCCCTGCAATTTAAATTGGAATGTGACATAATATTAATTAGGAAGTGCATTATAGTGACACATGACAAAACAAAACGATTCTTTTATTAGGTTAGATATATTTTATTTCTAAATAAAAAATAGCTAGTATCTAATAGTTATAATTTATGGTTTGTAACAAATATAAAAGGAATATTATGAAAAATAAAATTAATTACTCAACGCTATATTGTCATTTGCAGGGTCTCGGAATCATTCACTAATATTTTGATTCTCTTCGTTTTGTTTCTCTATTTTCTTTCACTTACGTTTTCCTTGTCTTGTCTTGTTCTCGTACTTTGGATCATGCATTTTGTTGTCACTAAAAAAGGTTATTCAATCCACTAGTGCAACATAATGAATTACATCTTTTGAACCGGAATAAGAACGAGCTCATAACCATTACTTATGAACAACTCTCCTCAACTGAAGACGTACCTACTGTTATTAGAAGTCTAGTCTCTCTCAGATCCAGTTTTGATCTCGAACTACAACATACGCGGGAAAAGAGATATTCAGAAAGATTTTCTCTCATGTTTGTAATCTTTGTGATGCGGTCGTTCTATCATTTGAAAGCAGTCATGAAAGACATGACTGCAGACATCTACCTTCCATCTCATCTTAATAAGATTATGGGGTCTGTTACTGTTGTTTTATATTATCATCTCAACACTATGTCATCATCTTTTAAAATATCGTCAATAATTGAATATAGGTTGGTTTGGATTGTTATAATTTTACCTAATGGCTTATGGTTCCGGATATCGTTTTATATATGTTCTAAGTTTGCCAATAGATTTTGATTTTGCAGACGATCAAACAAATAGAGTCCATTAATATAAAAAAAACTAATCAATTTTTTTTATTTTTTATTTTACGGTCGAAATGTAATTGGCCTCAAAAATGAAAATGGAACAAAAGGAAAATAGTCGAATAAACGAAGGGCTGTTTGGGGAAGGAGTTTCAAAGGCTGTTCTTAAGAAATTCCCGCGTCTCCGAACTCCCACCGCCGGTGAATCTCAAAATGACGAAGTCGATTGTTCTTTGCCTCCTCATCTCCGCCTTCTCCCTCCTCGCACCACCGGTCACGGCGGAGATCAAATCCTTAAAAGTCGAATCAGACAATCGCCCCATGATCCTTTTTGAGAAGTTCGGATTCACGCACAGAGGATTCGCCTCCGTCGCCATCTCCTCCGTCTCCGTCACCTCTGACCTGTCACAAGCTGATCCCTCCCGCCTTGGTTTCTTCCTTCTCTCCGAAGGTTCGTTAAACCAAGTTCTTACCGAATTTAAGCGAAAACCTAATTTCTGTGTAGTCGATTCCAAATATATCTCCCTTCTTTTCACCTTCCAGGATCTATCTCCTCCGCCTCATTCCTCGCTCAATAAATCCTACCCAATTAACTACCCCGACGAGTACTCTCTCTTCTTCGCTAATTGCAACCGTGAATCCCTTGTTTCAATGGACATCCGGACAGAGCTTTACAATACCGACGATGGCAACCACAGGGATTACTTATCCGCCGGCCAAACACAGCTCCCATCCTTTTACTTCCTTTTCTCCATCATTTACCTCTGTTTCTTAGTTCTCTGGATACTCGAATGCTTTAACAACAAAGGATCCGTTCACCGGATCCATTTCCTGATGGCCGTGTTGCTGATCGTGAAATCACTCAACTTACTATGTGCGGCGGAGGAGAAACATAAGGTAAAAGTTACAGGAACAGCCCATGGATGGGATGTGCTGTTCTACACGTTTCAGTTCTTGAAGGCGGTGCTTTTGTTCACCGTGATCGTGTTGATCGGTACTGGATGGTCGTTTCTGAAACCATTCTCGCAAGAAAAGGAGAAGAACGTGCTAATGATTGTGATCCCACTTCAGGTTTTAGCAAACATAGCTTCCACAGTAATTGGGGAAACTGGGCCATTCATTCAGAATTGGGTAACATGGAACCAATTGTTCTTGTTGGTAGATCTCATCTGTTGTTGCGCCATTCTTCTTCCTATCTTCTGGTCGATTAGTTTATTGAGGGAGACCTCGAAGACAGATGCAAAAGCTGCTACGAATTTGGCGAAGCTGACTCTTTTTAAGCAGTTTTATGTGTTGGTGATTGGATACTTGTATTTCACAAGACTGGTTGTTTATTCACTGAAAACAATCTCTTCTTATAAGTTCGAGTGGGTGGCTAATGGGGCTGAGGAAGTTGCTAGTGTTGCGTTTTATATAATCATGTTCTTCATGTTCAGGCCGATCGACAAGAACAAATACTTTCTTATTGATGGTGAAGAAGAGAAGGATGCCGAGAGGACTCTGCGGGAGGATGGGGACTTCCAGCTTGCTGTAGATAATTTGTAAATATTTACCTTCATTTGTTTTTTGTGTAAATTTATCTCTCACATAATTTGTAAATCATAGAAGAAAGCTTACTTGTTCAACCTTACTTTTATTTATATATATATTTTTTAACTTAGAGTTAATTTATTCCAAATTATATTAAAATGGTTTGTGCTAACACATGTATAACATTAACATCTCCCATGCAACTCACTTGATAAAAAAATCGTTCTCATGGTGGTGAAAAACATGTTTAACTTGCACTGTTGTACAAACATGAAACGGTGATCTTTTGTAATCATGTTCAATTCATGAAATTATGTTTTTTTATAAAGATATATATTTGATTATATGCATTACGTATGTACGTTCTAACAAAATAAGAGTTTGATGCTATAGTTAAAAAAAAACTTGGTATTTTTTTTTTTGCAACATTCCTTATATATTACATGTGTCTATTTTATGTCGACATTGAGTAAAATAAAATATGTTGATTTTTATTATATCATCAAAATTCAAATTCTCAATTTCTCATGTTAACCATTGCCTAATCTTGTTACGTGAGTACACTCGATGTTAACATGAGATTCTATGCATGATGTTCTAATAAAACTAGTATTGTGTCGCTCCCACCCCCATCCACACTAGACCTGACAATTCGTGTATTCGTGTCGTGAAAACGTGTCAGCCACGAATTTGACACGATATGATTACACAATCAGAAATAAGCTTTATCTCAATTTTCAAGATGTATTCGTGTCGTGTCGTGTCTTTCACAGATTCGTGTCTGGAATTTCCAGGTCTAATCCACACTATACTGGTGGTTGGATGAAGACAATTCAATATTAAATTAAATGTGAAAGTTTTTTTTTTTTTGGAAAAAAAAACTTATTGACAAACGGATAGATGAATCAAAATAAAAATTTTGATCATTGTTTTAAAAAAAAAGTTTAGTTTTAATTTTAACTAAAAAATCAAAATATTAAAGTTTTTACATAATTAATACCGTAATAAAAAATAAAATGTTATGATAAAAAATTAAAAATCAAAAATTAAATGGCAAATTTTGGATTAGTTGCAAAAAATTTCGCGGCCGTGTACATTGAAATGTGGAATGGATGAAGTCCCAAGATAAGAAGATACAATTTTTGGCTTTTTGCAATGTCGAGGGCGATGTTGGCGGTTGTTCCCTACTCTTTCGCCGCCGTCAAAACGGCACCGGAACAACCACACCGGAGTCAAGACTCAATAAAAACCCAGAAAAAGGCTTCCGGTAGCAGCACCGCCGGTTTCGGGGCCAAGAAAAGGGAACCTCTTTGGCAGTGCGTAAAGAATTGCGGTGCCTGCTGTAAGTTGGACAAGGGTCCCGCTTTCCCCTCCCCTGAAGAAATCTTCGACGATCCTTCTGATATTCAAGTACTTTCATTTCCGTTTTCGCATCAATTTCTTAACTTCAACAGCTATTTGTGTGGGAAAAAAATGGTGCCCTAATCATGCTCTGTTTCTTTTCTCAAACGTAATGGTTTATGTTATTTCAATTTCGATGAAAGTTTTTTAGGGAAAATTGAACTCAAGAAGTTAATGAGGTTGAATTCAATCTTCAAATCATACTCTGATTTTCTATTTTGAGAATTACTGTTTTTATGTTCAGCTATATAAAAGCTTAGTGGGCATGGATGGGTGGTGCATCCATTTTGAGAAAAGCACAAGAACATGCTCCATATATGCTGGTATGCATTTTCTGTAAGATCTTATATTATGCCTATTAGGTTCCACTCAACATTCATACATGTTATGATATACGTTTGATAATTTCAGATCGACCATACTTTTGTCGAGTTGAGCCAGATGTTTTTGAAACTTTGTACGGAATTGACAAGAAAAAATTCAACAAAGAAGCTTGCAGGTTAGATTATAGATTATATTATGGTTGATGTGTGTTTGTGTTCAAGTCAAGTGTTTTTCTCTCAACCAAAATTCTTGAATACCTTCAAAGATGACATGTAGGAAAATCTTGTGAACCAAAATCCATATTATGATTTGTATGAAACGCAGAATGCTTATGATCTTGTTCGCTTTTCCCTGCAGTAGCTGCATAGATACAATTAAAGCTGTTTATGGCTCTCAATCAGAGGAATTGGACAAATTCAAAAATGCAATTAGGAGCTAACTTACAACATGATAATTTATCTTGTTACTCTTTGAAATCACTCATTGACTTTTGTGGTCAAATGTGTGGTTTTGCATGTAGAGGGAGACAAGGAGAGCCTTTAAGAATGGTATAGTAAGTAGTATTACTATTTTTATAAATGATGAAATGTGTGATTTTGTAGGATTTGGTTTTTGGCCCTTCATTATAGTGTTGATAAATCTCATGTGATAATTTGTTCTTGGCTTTCAGATTCACTTTCTACTAAAATGGTTGCAGACAACATAGAGCAAATGGGGGGACGTAGTCAAATGGTATTTATAGTTTCAAGTTGCAAATAGTAGCGCTGCTAATCAACTTAATTATTTGAATCTTAAAAGTTAGTTTTAGTTTTATTATTAATTGCAAACTTCTTCATCTTTGATGAAAAAATCTCTTTTTGTATTAGCAGTTTTATGTGCTCATGAATCATGATCGACTAAAAGTCCTGACAATAACTTATAAACTGGGATTTAATAGTTTATGATTTTGATTTTGGTATACAAATGGGGATCTGTACTTGAATCAATAAATTAAATGATCTGGTGATTTGCCAGGTTAATTTCAATTACAACAAAACCATCAAAGTTGTGATTTTTAACATCAAATTTTATTTCCAGATGGAATCCACCATTTAAAATCACATCAAAAACATACTTGATAGTTGATAATTTAGTAATAAGATAACACATTATAAATATAAACAAAATGCAACTCTATGCTTTGTGAGTGACATTCACCGTAGCTAAATGTATGTATTGATATGCATAATGTACAAGTTTATTAATGCATGAATTTCAAGTTTAATCATTCAAACTTTGTATAATCCGTTACTTACAATCCCTTTATTTTGTAAATGATATTTTCCATCATTTTACTTTTTTAAAATATCACCTTTATCGTTTCCACTTTCAACTTTGTAAAATATTACTTTCACTCTTTCATTTTTTAAACTTTTGTGTTTATTTTGTGTGTATATATATATATATAGGTTCATTTGAGACCACCTATATTTTGTGAGACAAGGGGACCAATTTTCAGCCTTTGATCATAATTGATCTAATGGTTCAACAATA